CTAAGAATATAGGTTATCTTTAGCAAGAAACATTCACAAAGAATGCAACTTGTGTCTAGTGTTGAAATACTGTTTAGTTTAGTTGACCCTGCATTGCCCAACCTAGACTTGGTCAGGAATTAATGAGAATTACAGACACTGAGCAAAAAAGAGATCCTTCACCAAGCTAGATGAATGAAAGTTCAACTGTTTTAAAAATATTATTTTTATTTATGATTCATTAATAGTCCAAGGGGGTTGTATGAGAAAAGTTAACACATGCATGTAGTATGTTTTGAGCAAGTTCAACCCTCTGTTATATTCCCTTAGCCCCTCCTCTTCTCAAAACACTATTTGGTGTTTTTTTTATCCTTCCTTCATTTATATATATAAGTAACAGACTTTGATCCTCTTCACTTTTGCACCCTCTCCATTTCCCCTTTCTTTCCCAATGAACACCAACAGTGTCCCTTTGCCACTAAAGTCCCATTTTGTTATTATTATCATCATTTTAGACCTAGATTCCACTTCCCCATTTTTGAGGGATTTTTAGAAGGCTTACGGAGCTGTGCAGTTACCACAATCCAATGTTAGCAGCTTTCTGTCATCCTAGAAAAATATCACGCCATATGTAGTCATTTCCTGGTCCCACCCCAGCCCCAGGCAACCACGAATCTACCTTCTGTTTGTATAAATTTTCCTTTTTTGGACATTGCACATAAATGGAGCCATACATGACATGATATTTTGTGGCTGGTTTCTTTCTTTCACCATCATATTTTCCAGGTGTCTTCCTCTTGTAGGATGTACCAATCTCCTGTTCTCCATTGCTTCTAAGTTTTCAATTATTTCTTGGTAGACAATAACTATGTCCACAGGGTGCAATATGATATTTCCATGTGTGTGTACCTTGAGGAAAGATTACATCAAGTTAGTTGACATATCTATCACCTTCCAGACAATTTTCTTGTAATGAAAACATTTAAACTCCCCTCTTTAGGCAATTTTGAAATATAAAATACATTACTAGTTATTCCACAATTAATGGTGATCACTATTAAAGAGGTTTTCTTTCGAAAAGGATAGCATACTTCATAAAGCAAATATGATCTGTACATAAGAAGGAATCTTATCCAGCCTTCAAAAAGAATGAAATTATGACAGAAGGAATTATAACCACAATTGAAAATAAAACAAAGATGACTTGGGTGTAGCTCAGTGGTAGAGCAAATGCTTAGCTTTTCTACTACAATACTTGAGGAGTGTATATAAATAAATATATATGTACACACATATGTATGTATGTATGTGTATGTGCGCACATATATATTTAGGTATTTTTATTGATATTTAATAATAGCTATATGGGGGTTTATTGTGACTTCTCCATGTATGTGTACAATGTACCTAAGTTTGGTTCATCCCCTCCATTATTCTCCCTCTTCCTCTGCCCCCTTCTTAAAATGATGTAGACAGATTTCAGCATTCCATATTCATATGTATATAGAAAGTACATCAACATATTCGCCCTCCTTTACCCTCTTCATTTACCCTCCCCTCCAACTTTTTCCCTCCCCTGTTTTACATTTCTGTCCTTCATTGCCTAGGTGTCTTTTCATTGTTCAGTGAGGTTTTTGCCTCAGTATTTCCCTGTGAAAATATTGTACCTTAATCAGTCTAACCCCCTTTAGGGAATATGCTGGAACATATAGACATCAGCAATAGCTTCCTAAATACAATGCCAATAGTCAGCAATTAAGAGAAAGGATTGACAAATGGGACTACCTGAAACTGAAAAGCTTTTGCACAGTCATCAGACTGAAGAGACAGCCCACAGAATGGGAGAGAAATCTTTGCCAGCTATACATCTGGCAAGGGATTAACAACCAGAATTTCCAGGGAACTCCAAAAACTAAACTCCCAGAGAGTGTAAAACAAAACAAAACAAAACAACATCATGGGCTCCCTTCCAATCCCACTCACCCTGTTATAACTCAGAGCTTACCCAAAGTCCAGCAAGCCCTCCTCAGGCTCTGTGCTCCATTCTCCACCATCAGCCACTGGATTTCCATCTGCCTCCACCTGGTCTTTCTTTTATCCCTTCCAACTATTCTCAGCACAACCTCAGGAAGAATTCTTTCAAACAGGCTATGCAAGCTGATGGAGCTGATGACTTATACTTACACTCAAAGCTGGCCAGCAGCTCCCAATTTGCTCATCTCCAAAACCCCATTTCTGATCACCTGTCTGACTAGCTCCCCCGCCCCATATGCTCTGCTCTACACACACTGGCCATCTGACTTTTTTTAAAAATCAGGTTATTGTCATAATGGATTATTCTGTATGTGTTATGTTTACAAGAGACATTTCTTTCTTTTTATGGCCTTACTGAGGTGTAAGTGAGAAAACAGACTGTATATAAAGTAGACAAATTTGGTAAGTTTTCATATATGCATACACCCATGAAATCATAATAATTAAGGTAACGAATATATTCACCATCCTCCCAAATTCTCCTCATTTCTTCCACTAATTTGGCTGATTTCCTATCCTCAGAAACCGCTGGTATTTCTGTTATGATATTCTACAAAGTATGTTTTATTTATTTATTTTTCTTTTATTTATATGTGCATACAATGTTTGGGTCACTTCTCTTCCCTTCCCCCTGCCCCCTCCCTTATCTCCCCTCCCCCTCCCTCTCCCCTCCACCCCCTCAATACCCAGCAAAAACTATTTTGCCCTTATCTCTAATTTTGTTGAAGAGAGAGTATAAGCAATAATAGGAAGGAACAAGGGTTTTTGCTAGTTGAGATAAGGAGAGCTATACAGGGAGTTGACTCACATTGATTTCCTGTGCATGTGTGTTACCTTCTAAATTAATTCTTCTCCAACTAACCTTTTCTCTAATTCCTGGTTCCCTTCTCCTATTGGCTTCTATTGCTTTAAAGTATCTGCATTAGTTTCTCTACATTGAGGGCAACAAATGCTATCTAGTTTTTTGGGTGTCTTACCTATCCTCATACCTACCTTGTGTGCTCTCGCTTTATCATGTGATTGAGGTCCAGTCCCCTTGTTGTGTTTGCCCTTGATTTAAAGTCCGCATATGAGGGAGAACACATGATTTTTGGTCTTTGGGGCCAGGCTAACCTCACTCAGAATGATGTTCTCCAATTCCATCCATTTACCAGCAAATAATAACATTTCGTTCTTCTTCATGGCTACATAAAATTCCATTGTGTATAAAAACCACATTTTCTTAATCCATTCGTCAGTAGTGGGGCATCTTGGCTGTTTCCATAACTTGGATATTGTGAATAGTGCTGCAATAAATATGGGTGCGCAAGTGCTTCTGGAGTAACCTGTGTCACTTTCTTTTGGTTATGTCCCCAAGAGTGGTATTGCTGGATCATATGGTGGATCAATGTTTAGCTTTTTAAGTATCCTCCACATTTTTTCCAGAGTGGTTGTACTAGTTTACATTCCCACCAGCAGTGTAAAAGGGTTCCTTTTTCCCTGCATCCTTGCCAATGGCCATCTGACTTTTGCTCAAGTGTGCAGGCTCACCCTTCCTCAGGGACTGGCATTTATTAGTCAGCTTTCCCCAGATCTTCTCATGGCTCCTCCCATTGCCTCCTTGAGAGTTTCAGTCCAAAGTCACCTCTTTTCACAGCTAGGATGCTCTGCTCTATGGTTATCTTTTCTGCTTAGTTTTTCCCACAGCAACTACTCTTTTTTTATCTGATTTATTTTCTGCTGTATCTCCAGCATCAATAACAGCTCCTGGCACATAGTAGGGGCTTAGCAAGTATTTCACATATGTATGAATTATTGCCCTTATCTTTTAACAGCTTTATCTAGGTGTAATTTAGATACCATAAAAATCACCCATCTGAAGAGTACCCTGCGATGATATAAAGTAAATTTACAGAGTTGTGCAACCATCACCACAATCCAGTTTCAGAACATTTCCATCATTCTTAAGAGAGGTGTAGTTTAGAGGTAGAACATTTGCCTAGCATGCATGTCCTGGGTTCCAGACCAAAGAACAACCTGACTTGGGAGACAGGTGTGTTGGCATATGCTTGTGATCCCAGCACTCAGGAGGCTGAGGCAGAAGCACTGGGAGTTCAAGGCAAGCCTAGTCTACATAGTGAGAAACTATCTGTAAAACTGAAGAGAGAGAGAGAGAGAGAGAGAGAGAGAGAGAGAGAGAGAGAGAGAGAGAGAGAGAGAGAGAGAGATCCCTCATCTTCATTTTCAGTCACTACAATTCTCACTGCTAACTCTGGAGCACCATTAATCTCTCATTTTCTATAGAATTGCCCTTTTGTGAGGATTCTTATTCATTTGTTTCTTTCACTGAACATATGTAAAGACTGATTATGCAGTGGTGGGTATTATGTGGGGAACTGATTGAAATAGTCTGTCAGTAATATACAGTATCTTTTTCTTACATGCACCTGTGTGTATACACACAGAATTATTGGTAGGACAAAGTCTTTAATCAAAGATGCCCCACCTCAGGAATAATTATGACTGTAGTTTACTCTGTGAGGTAGAAGTACACTCTACTTAGAACCTAGAAGGGGTGGCGGTCTTCTTGGAGGAAGCCATGTCCCATCTAGATCTGAGGATGGGGTGAGAGTTAGCTAGATGATGGAGGAGGGGTGAGAATGAGCTATGTGTGGGTAGCTCTTTCCCCAAATACATATCATGGATTCCTGTCTCCATGTCTACCGTCCAGTGCTAAGAGCCGACCTTGCTCCCAGAGACAAAGTGAGGGTGTCAGTGACAGGAATCCAGAATGAGGGACAGAACTGAGGCTCTAAAGACAGCTTAGGACATGCCAAAGAATACATGGAGTGTGTTTTTCAAATGCTGTGACATGTGCCAGAGTCTGCAATATAAGCTTCTTCATATTTATTTTCTATGTGAGGAAACTGAGTCACAGGAATGTTGCATTATTGTTCAGGACCCATAGGCAAAAGAGCACAGACTTCTCTCCTTTTCTGATTTCCCAGGAGCCTCTACAACCCCCAGACAGGTGCTCACAGAGGAATCATCCTCCACAACAGGTGAGTTCAGGAGGCTTTGTTCTGGTGTCTGGGAAATGAGGCACATGGATTCCTCCTTTTCTCCTGACTACCTAGATTTATTGATAAAATCAACTTGTTAAAAAGTCTCTTCCACAGACTTGCTTTGTTTAAAAATCCTTTATTAAGCAGGGAGCCTGAGGCTTACACCTGTAATTCTAGCTTCTTGGGAGGCTGGGATTGGGAAGATTGTGATTTTAGGCAAGCCTGGGCAAAAAAGTTTGTGAGACTCCTTTTCAAAGGGAAAAATCTGTGTGTGGTGGTGTGAGCCGGTCATGATGATGGGGTGGGATGGGGTGGAAAGGATAAAATAGAAGGATTGCAGTCCAGGCCAACTGGGCAAAAAGCGAAACTCTATCACCAAAATAACCAAATCAAAAAGGACTGGAGTTATGGCTCAAGTGATAGAGTGCCAAGCATGAGGCCTTGGGTTGAAATGGCAGTTATCAAAATAAATCCTTTATTTCTGCCTGGAAAGAGGGTTAGTATCAGAAGCAGATATTAATATTCGACCCCACAGCCCCACCTGTGTCCTGCCTAGGTGGATGGTTTGCAATGTCTGACATGCAGAAGAATAATCTGAGTGTCTTGTTAAACTGTAGAGTCCTGGGCTTTGTTTCTGAACCTGATTCCATTGCTCAGCGGTTCTCAAACTGCCAGAGGCATCAGAATCACCCAGAGTTTCTTACAGCATGGGCTTAGGAGCCCCCAGAGTTTCCGAGTCAGTGGGTCTGGGGTGAACCTAGCACTGTTCACTTCTAAGAAGTTCTAACAAGTTCCAGCAAGGCCATGCTGATGCTGGAGGCCCTCGATGTTGCTCTGAGAAACATGGCATTAAATTTTGTGCACATTTTCAAAAGCACCTTGGCAGAACAGTATGTACAGGAATATAGCCTGTGCTTTAGAAAAATGATGTACCAGGCTGGGCATATCCTACACATCTTGGTCTCAGAGACTGGACAAAGAGCCAAGCAACAGGAAACACACTGAAAAGAGCAAAGGTTGGTAAGGATGTGGCACCTGGGATGGGGGCAGTATGAGGGCACTTCATGCCCATCAAGAATTGAGCCAGGGCCATAAAGCAGTCTCTCTCTCTCTTTTTCTCTTCCTCTTCCTCTCCCCCACCCCGTTCTCTCTCTCTCTTTCTGTTCTTATTTGGAATTTTTATAGAGTTTCCATTTTGAAATAATTACAGTCACAGGAAGTTTGCAACAAGGGTACAGAATAATTCCATGTACCCTTTGCCCAGTTCCCCCTAGAGCTCCATCTTACATAATCAAAGTACAGCATAAAAATAAAGAATTTGACATTGACATAAAGTATTTGTATAGTCAATATGTCTTGGGTAGATTTCTGTAACCACCTTCTACATTACTGGTGGGATGTAAAATGCTACATCTGCTTTGAAAAGCAGTCTGGAAGTCCCTCAAAGTTATCCTATGACCCAGTGATTCCACTCTTGGGTTAAAACACAAGATTAAAAACTTGTGTTTATATGAACACCTGTACACAAATGTTCATAGCAGCATTATTCAAAATAGCCCCAATGTGGAAACAACCCAAATGTCCACCAACTGATGAATGGTCCAATTCATTTAAACCACTGACAGATGGATGCTAAGTCTTAGGGCCTATTGAGTTTTGCTCTCTTTAGTGGCTGAGTAGTATGTGTCAGAGAAAAGGGTTTTAGGGAGCCCAGATATCTCAGAAGGGGTATAGAGTGGGGTCCTCTGGGAAGAACTGATATTATTCTACTTCCTTATAATCATCCTGCTTAGAACTCCCAGAAGCCCCCAGGAGACCATTCATCTCACCCATCAACAAAGTCTCCACAACTGGTAAGTAACTGGGCACTCAACACTCAGCAGAAAGGAAGATGGTGCACACTTCCCCTAACCAAGAAAGCCCTTGGTCTGAGGACAGAGGATGGGAGGGAGGTAGGCTCTGTGGCTGATGAAGAGGAGTATTCTGGGTAGTGTGGCCATTTCAAAGATGGCGGAGGTCAGGCTCAATGGGAACATCATTACCCATCATACACCCTGCTCTCTGGATAAGGTCCAAGCTCTTCCCACTTGGTTCTGTCAAAGTATCTAATCTTATTTGCCACTGTTTCTTTGTAGAGCCTGTTCTTCAGTCATATGCAGCCCACAGGTGCCTGGACACAATTCACCTCCTTACCACTGCAGACCTCTACATAGTGCTTCCCTCACACTGAAATTTCTTTCCCTTGTTTTTCCTGGAAGGTCTCCATGTCCTTCAGACAGATCCTCTAAGGATAGGTTAGATATCCCCATTGGATCCACCCAACCCTGGATTTCTTTAGGCTCTTAACCCCAGCAATTTCTTTTAATTCCATGACAGGATTCTTCTCTATACTTACTTTCAAAAGCCTTCCAGTCACTCTCAGGATTCTCCCTGGCTTCCTCAGCCTGCTGTGCAACCTCTTCTGCACACATTCCATTCAACCCTCATGATTCTCAGCCACCTGGAAACTCTCAAGACTCTGGATGTGTCATATCCTCTCCTGCCTCTCACCCAAGCCATTCACTCTCTTTCCTTCCATTGCCCATATCTGCAGTTCTGTAAGAAAGCCTTTCTTGACTTTCTGGCCAGCATTGGTACTTTTTTCTGTCCTGCTCAGTGTTGTGTGGGTTACCTATTACAACAATTTTCACAATATATAAAAGTTACTGCTTTACTTCTTGGTGTCCTCCTATAGTCTTTGAACCCCACATGAATGATGTCTAATCAATGTTTGGATCTCCATCGACCAGCACATGGCTGAACACCTGGCAAGTCCCAGGAAATACTTGTGAAATAAGAAGAGAATTAGCATGTATGGGATGCTTAGTGTGCATTGCACCTGTGTTTTATACAGCCATTATTAAGTACTAACTATTATTAAAGCTGAGTATCTCTCTCTTTTTTTTGTGGAACTGGGACTTGAACTCAGGACCTTCGCCTTGAGCCACTCCACCAGCCCTTTTTGTGAAGGGTTTTTTTTTTTTTGAGACAGGGTCTCATGAACTATTTGCCTGGGCTGGCTTTGTACCTCAATCTACCTGATCTCGCCTCCTGAGTAGCTAGGATCACAGGTGTGAGCCACCAGTGCTGGCTAAAGCTGAGTATTTCTTGTATGAAGTCCTTGGGACCCATTTCTTGGAAATTTAGAATATTTGCATGTGCATAATATGTTGGGGATAGAACCTGAATCTGGAATTCATTTATATTTTATATATACCTTATACACACAGTCTGAGACAATTTTATACAGCCTTTTCAGTGCACCTGTGTTTTGATTGCAACTTGCCTCCTGAGATCAGGTGTGAATTTTTCCACTTGTGGCATCCAGTCGGCACTCACAAATATAAAATTTGGGTGCATTTTTGACTTCAGATTTTCATAACAAGGATACTCAATTTATGTTTTGATTGTCACATCAACCCATGATGTAAGTGACATCGTTAATTTCATTGGACAGGTGGGAAAATTGGGCCATTGAAGTTGAGTCACTTGCCAAGGTTTATATGTAATAAGTGCTAGATTTAAGGTCAAATCTGGTCAGCCTGACTCTATAGTTCATGCTGTTCCTAAATGCTATGGGAAGCATGCATGTTCATCTCCAGTAGAGGAGATGGTTTCATTTGCTCACACCTTTTATTTTAATTTAATATTTTATTCCTAGAGATGTCTAGGAATATCACTGTCTCTCCAGCAGGGTCAAGCCCTCCACTTGGTAAGTGGCCCTCTCCAGACCCCCTTCTTTCTCTTTACCCAAAGCAGATTCATTTTCCTGTACAGGTGCTGTAGATCTGTTGTCTTGGGTCCTGGTGGGGGAAACAGTAAGGGGAGAGGGTAGGACATCAGGATATCAGGTGGGAAATTTAAGATTTTCCAATGGGTCGGAGAAAGAAATTCTCTTTATCCTAGGCCCCTTACCTTATAATTGTCTTCTCTTCTACAATCAGTCAGATAATCAGGTGGTGTCTGTGCCTAGGAAGGGGCTCTACTGGGGACCTGGGAGGGGAATGTATGAGAGAGGTGTAATGTAGTGAATTGGGCTTCTCCTGGTGGAGAGAAGAGAAATCCTACAAGAAGGAGATGGACCTCCCAGAGAGTGGAGGATAATAGGATTCCATATCAGAATTATGGCTGTGAGAAGCCCAGAGTGTGACCCAGAAGTGGCCTGTTATCACTTGCTCCTGTGTCCTCCTTTCTCCAGGGCTTGCCCATCAGTACTACACCAAGGAGAATCTGGTCCGGATATGTCTGGGCGCCGTGATTCTAATACTCCTGGTGGGGATTCTGGCAGAGGATTGGTACAGCAGGAAGAAACCCCTGGTGTACAGGGGCAGAGTTGTGCAAAGACCACTCCCACCCCTCCCAAAGACCCAGAAGTCACATGGCTATCAAGATGGGTGCCACCATTACAGTCCCAGGCAAGGTCATGGCCAAGAGACAGACCATGGGGAGATGATGTAAAGACTGTGAATGAATGTAACAGGAGGACAGAAGCTACCAGGAAGAGAGGAGGCTATGGGGTCACTTCATCAAAGAGCTGTTGAGCCAGAGTCTACTTGGCTCCCTGTCCACAGGGAGGGAAGGAATCTAGAGGAAGCCTATATCCTCACTGATACCTTTCACATTCAATATGGACGACCATATTAACTGGACCACCATACTGGCCTTTCTTCAACTTTCCTTAATATGGGTTCCACATTGGTTGGTCTCCAACATTTCCAACTCTCACAGCTGTTCTATCCTTTGTGCAAAATCCTTCCATCTTCCCCTGGCTATGTTTTTCTGTGGTTTTCCCCAAATCTAGCTCTCACCCTAACCCTATCTTAAGCTACACTCTGAAAAATCTCCTTTTTTTTTAATTAGAATGGGCCTGGTTCTTCCAGACAGTGGGTGTATGGAGTTCTTTTCTGCTAGTGTGTACTAATAATTCCACTAGTCCCATTATCAACAATCAATGTGTTCCAAGACACTAGTAGATGCCTAATATGGTGGCTTAGTACCAAATCCTTTATATTCTGTGTTTTTTTCCTATGCGTACTCTTGGCTTTGAGATTGTTATTGGGTAAAATAATGGTTACTTTCTACAAGCACTGTGATATCATGACAGTCAACCTGGGGTAGCAGATATACATCCAAAGGAATGATTTGCATTTGAGATGAGATGTGCTGGTGTAGGATGACAACACATTTTATCATGCTACCCAAAACAGTGTACAGTTTAAAACTCATGAATTGTTTGTTTCTGGAATTTTGCATTTAATATTTTTACACTGATGTCAGTAACACAAACAAGATGATGGAGGTCTACCGACTAACTATTGTATACCTGGCTTCCTTCATACTAGAAAGAGTCCATAGTCTCAACCATGTCCTAATGGACAGGAGAGGCAAATCCAGAGAGACAGGAGGCATTTTTGTGATTGCCTGAGCTGGGAGGAAGACTCCAGGGGAATAGGGAATAATGAATTAATGAGCATAGGGATTTTTTTAGAGTGTTGAAATGGTTTGGGACTAAAGAGAAATGATGCTGTATCACATTTTGATACAGCAGAGTGATGGTAGACAATGATAATGTATGTTTTACAAAACTGGAAGAAAGGATTTTTAATATTTTTGCCATAAAAAGATACATTACATAATGCATACACATGTTAAAACGTGACATAGTACCCCATAAATACATATGTTTTTATGTATAAGTTAAAATTTAAGGAAATTTTTGCTGGAGGTGTGGCTTAAGCAGTAGAGCACCTGCCAAGCAAGCATGAGGCTCTGAGTTCAAACCTCAGTACTGCAAAGAAGAAAGGTTAATTTTATTTTATGTGAATTTTGCTTCAATAAATATTAAAATAAAAATTATCTGCTTCTTGATGCTCATCGCCTCTATGTGGGGTCACCCATTCTGTGGAGCTATATGGAATGAAACCCATATACAGTGGGGCTCCTGCTCCCATCAGCATGAACCCCAAACCCTCAGGTCACTCCTGAGTTTGGAGGATAGCTTCCCTCCAGGGGTCACTAGGAGGGTAGTTGGATGATATTCTGAGCTTGACTTTGGGTTCTTCTAAAGAAAAAGAAATACTGGACGTTAAAATGGTGTCTTCACTTCTCACCACCAAAACTCTATGCCTGGACCTGACACTGGGGGAGAAGAATTCTCTCCAATATTTTTTAAATCCTTTTTTGGTGGTACTGGGGTTTGAACTCAGGGCCTCATGCATGCTAGGCAGGAACTCTACCACTTGAGCCATGCTCTTGGCCCTCTTTTGCTTTATATTTTTGGACAGGGTCTTGCATTTTTGCTTGGAGCTAGCCTCATACCATGATCTTCCTACCTATGCTTCCTGTATAACTGAGATTACAGGCACACACCACCACAACTGACTTGTTGGTTGAGATGGGATCTCACTAACTTTTTGCTCAGACTCGCCTTGATTCATGATCCTTCTGAGAAGCTGAGATTATAGGTGTGAGCCATCCTGCTTTGCCTGAATTCTTTCCAATCTTAAAACCTGAGTAACCCAAGAAAACATGCCAGAATGTGGATAATTGGGCCAAGTGTGGACCACCTACAGCTCCTGTCCTCCTTGGGTGTGTTCCATGTGGCTTTGTGGTACAGGAGAAAGCTCTTCTCTGGGTGGTGGATGGTTTCTAGGTCACCTTAGCAACAGCTGCCACAAGAATTTGTGACAGTCCCTTATGCTCTCTGCACTATTCTTACCTGTATAGCCAGCAAGTTGCAGCGGGGAATTGGAAACTTGAAATTCCACCTTCCATTCTTGGATGAAGAAAGTCATATCTAGGAGTTTAACTGACACCCCAGGTTCACACAGAGAGAAGCATTTTCAGACTGAACACAGGAGTTATGTTTGTGGATTCGGAATCGTGTGGCATATAGGAGTTGGGAGGCTTGGTGTCTTGCCTTGGTGGGTCTTTGAGCCCAGTTGTGCAGATGGCCACCATATTCCTGAGCTGGTTCAGTCTGTGAAGAAGATGTATTAACTTTTCATTCTGTCTACAGTCTCTTAAATGCCTCCCTCCTCCTCCATTACCCAAACCCCTCTATCTCATGATTCTGCCATCTTGACCTTTAAACTTCCTCAATTATATCACTGGTTTAGGCATGGCAGCTCATGCCTAGAATCCCAGCACACAGGAGGCTGAGACAGGAGGATCTCAAGGTTGAAGCTAACCTGGGCCATGTAATAAGATGCTGTCTCAGAGAAAGGAGTCACTTTACTTGAGAGAAGTTATATTGATAGTCACCAACTTAAAATGGTTTGACTTATGATTAAACTTTCCAATGGTGCAAAATTCATACACATTTGGTAGAAACTGGACTTTGAATTTTGATTTTTTCCTGATCTAGTAGTATGTGGGTGCCCTACCATCTGGAGATGGTGGGTAGCAGCAGTGAGACATGGTTCCCAGTCAGCATTGTGATCATGTGCTCTACAGTGTACTGTTTTGCTAGTGTTATCTTTTGGATACAGGTATTCAATAACTTACATAAGGCATTCAACACTTTGTCATAAACTAGGGCTTGCCCAATTGCAGGCTCATGTGAGTGTTCTGAGTGTGTTTAGCACAGGGTAGGCTAAGCTATGATGTTTGGGAGGGTAGGTTTTCCAGGATGTAACTCCATCATAGTTACAGGAGCATCTGTACTGGGGAAACTAGAGGAAGTTTTAGGATGAAGCATCATTTTACATGAGTCTTGAGTGACAAGGAGCCAGTCAGATACAGGTCTGGAGGTAGAAGAGGTCCCCAGGTAGAGGGAACATCGGAGGCAGTCATCCTGTGTGGGAGAGTGGGTCGCACTGAAAGGATAAAAATGAGGCCAACACACAGAGAAGAGACAGATCACTCAGCTGTGGACAATATCTGTGCTGTGCCCATCAACATAATGGATAAAGAAATTGTGAGATATACATGCCCATGGGAGTGTTTATTGAGCTATAAATAATAATGAAATGATGTCATCTGCAAGGACATGGATGGAACTGATAATCATTTTGTCAAGTGAAAAAAGCCTTACTGAAAAGAAGAACATAGCATGCTCATATGAAGAATCTAGACTTGATTAAAAAAAAGAATGACAGGAGTCAAAAATGGGGACTATTTGGTGGGAGGGAAGCCAGGGGTGGGGGGGTGAATGCTATAGAAGTATTTCATAGGCATGTATGAAAATAGAATAATGAAATAAAATTCTTTTAAAAATTCTTTTAAGAAAGAATAATATAGGGAATGAATTTGATCAAAGTATATTATATGCATGTATGGAAATATCACAGTGAAACTGTACAATTTATGCTAATAAAAATAACATCTAAATATAATATGATATTTATAACAAGAGAAAGTATGTCAAAAGTAGAAAGTAAAGAAATGTATAAGGAAGGAAAATTCAATTAATTTTCGTATTAGTATTTTTGCAAACATGTTGCCATCCTTCCTCCTACAGAAACATATTTGAATAGTGTAAATCCAGCAATAAAGCACGTGTAAGATGAACTAAAAATGTAAGCACAATATTGACATGTGTATGCAGATTCTGGGAAAGGGAAAAGCATTAAGAACATCAGTGTGGAGAACTAAGTCTTCATCTGTTATGAGTCTAGTAGGTAAGGTCTGCACTCATTATTCACATGATTACATGGTTGTATAAACCAAATATTGAAAGACCCTGAGAAAATCAGATCAAAGTGGGTGTCTCCTAGGCGGAGACATTGGAAAGGGTGGTTGGTTAGCAGGTGCATTTTCTGTATGCTCTTTAAATGCTATTTGAAATCTTTCAGTTTCTTTCTTTCTTTCTTTTACAGTGCTGGGATGGAACCCAGGACCTCTCACATGCTAGCTAAGCATTCTACCCCTGAGCTATATCTCTATCTCAAGGATTTTTAAAGTAGGTGGGTGTATTTTTTATAATAAAATAAACATGCAGATATGGGGTTATGAGCAGAAGGACAAAAATTCTCAAAATTGTTTCCCTTGGGGGAAAGGACTTGTTCATGGGGGAGAGTTCTGAAATACACACTTCCTTTACATAATATGACCTTTTGTAGTTAAAAATTACATGTCAACTCCAAAATATCCAAATAAAACTGTGATAATTACAAAGCATTACAAAAAAGTACAAATGAAGGTAATGCAGAATGGGAAGACAAAACTATACGTGCTAGGAGGCTGTCATGATGACAAGCAACAAAATTAATAACAAGATGACTGACTTTAGTCAATCACTTTCCATAGTAATTCATCCACTCAGTTTGGGATCTTATTCCTAAAAACAAAGGAAAAGAGCAAAGGAAGAAAGAGAGGTGTGGTCTCTTATGTTTAAAGAATAGGGGCAGGAGGGAGGTATGGATGTCTGAGCTATGCCTAGTTACTCAAATATCACATTTGATGCTCCATGAACAGTTAGGGATGAGAAGGGCGAGGGGAGAGTAGATTTTTCCTGCCACTTCCTATCTTTTGACTTCACTTCCCGTCTTCATTTCCTGCCTTCAAATTTACTTCCTGTCCTCTGCTGTGTAATAGAGGCACTGAACAAAGCACAAACTGAATGCTGTGACACTCAGGTTATCTGCACAGGTTATCTTGGCAAGTGGAGGGAGCTGGGGAACCCTGGAGAAGCCTGGGTCAGGGCTAGGGATGAGTGACAGAGGGAAGGATAGTGTCATCGTAGAAGGTGTTTGGGGACTTGGGATGAAGTCCAGTATTGGGATTCTTGAACATGTATGCCTCTCAGATATTTCTTCCAGAGCTGTGCCTGAGCCAGGGGATCTTAGTAGAGGGGAGTGAGTTCTTCCCAACACCCTCTTACTAGAGTCTGCACAAAAAACTTACTCCTCAGAGACAGCTAGGGATTGGGAAAAGTGTGGCTTAGATGATGGGAGGAGCCTGAGAGCAGGCTTGAGGTTAGAAAGAATAGTAGGGTCAGGCCTTCAAGATCTCTGGCTCTTAATTCCCTCCAGGAATGCCCTCTCTCCAGTTCACCCAAATCCCTGTGGATCCCAAGTACAAACATGGCTCTGGCTTGGCTCTTGTAGTTCATACCTGTAATTCTGCTCAGGAGGCAGAGATCGGGAGGATTGAGGTTCAAAACCAGCCCCCAGCAAATAGTTTGTGAGCTCCTATCTCAAAAAAAATCACAAAGAAGGGCTGGTAGAGTAACTCAAGTGGTAATAGTGCCTGCCTAGCAAGTGTGAGGGCCCTAAGCTCAAACCCCAGTTCCATCAAACCCTCACACAAACCAAAAAGCATGCCTCTGATGCGGTGTTAAGTGAATGGATGAATTGGGTAGAATTGTGGATGGGTTTTCCATATACCTTACCAAAGCACCCACAATGAGTAATTCAATGTGACCAGACCCAGAACAAATATGGGGCTGAGGCCACATGTTCAGAATTTAGTGATGGGCAGAGACTGGTGGTCCCAGGTGAGGCAGTGCTGAAAGCACGAGGACTACCATATCTTTCACCTGACAAATTCATGTAGACACACATGGGCCTTTGTGTCACCTCTCAGCTTTGGGCAGGCATTACAGGTAATGAGAGTGGGCCCGAGAGTGTGGCTGGAACACAGGAAACACCATGGGGAAAGATGAGTTTAGCTGTAAGCATGAGTTTGTACCTTCAGAACCACTGGGATTTCAATACTACCTAGTCTCCAAATTGATGTACACAGGTTGTTTGATTCTTCTCTCTTAAAGGGGTGTGTGTGTAGGGATAGAGTACAGTGGTCCTCAGTCAAGGGATGTCATCCAGGGGATATTTTTCCAAAGCCTAGAGACACTTTTGGTTGTCATAACTAAGGGGGACACTGGAATCCAGTGGGGAGAGACTAGCGTTCAACACCATGCAAATGTATAAGACAATTTCTCCCAACCAGGAATTATCTGGCCCTAAATGTCCATAGTGCAGAGGATGAACAATCCCTGCCTAGAAGACATAAAAACTTCTCTAGTCTTTCAGGTTTTGTGCCTGGTTTTTACCTACCTTTCTTGTCAGTAGGAGCCTGAAAATAAAAAAGGCTCTATGAGGAGATTTTGTACCAGGAATAGAAGGTAACTTATAGGAAACCCCAGAAGGCCACACAGTATACAACATTTCTGGGATGAAAGACCTTTTTTTTTTTTGAGACAGGGAATCATTATGTAGCCCAGGCTAGCATTGAACTCACCATCCTTCCGCTTTCCAAGCTCTGCGATTACAGAGGTGTACCACCATGCTTGGCCACCGGAAAGGGCAGTTTGATGGAACGTTTGGGAACTTGGTTTAGTTGGTGAGTGATGAATTGATAGCCCTTGTTGAAAAAATAGGAGCTAGAAGAATTGGGAGATTTAAGATTTTTAAATTTTTTAAAAGAAATCCAACAAAAAGTTTTTCCTCAAATTGTTTTTTCCCTTATGTATTTGCTTATCCTGGTACACATGGATTAGTGTGTCAGGATTGCTAACCAGTGCCCCATGAGAAACATTTCCAACTACAGTGTTTATATATGGTCTTTCTTCAGTTCTCTCCCTGTTTTAATGAATTTTGGGGTTTTATATGTTAAAAAGAAATATTAAGGCCTATGTGTAGTAGGGCTATGCATACCACGAAGTTATATTTTAAGTTAGAATTATACAGTTAATCAGAATGACATGATCACATAGGAGCTACAATGAAGCACTTGCAAGTTCAAAATTGGCCTGGGGGAAGTGTAGTTCAGTGGTCAAGAATTTGCCTAGCATGTGGAAGGCCCCGAGTTTGATCCCCAGCACTGCAGAAAAATCCACAAATATTTTAGGGTTTGCAGGAGAAATATTCTGTTGAAGAATGTGCAGCAGGGAGTTAGTTATGTGTGCAGGTCAAAAAACACAAGTATCAGCTGGGGATGCATCACAGTGGTAGAGTGCTTGTCTAGCATGTGCAAGGCCCTAGGTTTGATCCTCAGTACACAAAAAGGAAAAAGGAAAAGAAATACCAGGACTGAGAAAAAACTGGAAGGCAACAGATACCAATGCAATCCAACACTTCCCATGTTCTTTTCCTTGGCCTAAGTTCTCCCCAAATAAGGTATCTTGACTCTACATTTTTCCAGAACCTGTTAATAACCACAGTTCTATTCATGAATGCTTTCACCTTTATTTCCCTCTATAAACCCTCGATAAACCTGTGATACAGACATTTCACACATAACAGGGTTAAGTGACTGTGCATCAGGGCAAAACAAAGGCTCAAATTACACCCAGCCCACCAATGAACTCATCATGGAGGCTCAGAGAAAGTTAAGGCCTGAGACTTTTGCAGGATGGACTCTAGAAAATGAAGTCTTGAGAAGAAGGTCTTTTTCTCCTAGAATCACAATGGTCACTCTCAATGGTCAGTTGTCGGTTGCTTTCTTTGATTTCTTTCAGTAGCTTCTTGATATGAGGGTCAGTTTCATCAATTTTCAACCTAGAGGAACACGATGGGAAGAAAGAAAAGGTTTTTTATTGCTTCAAGGGGATTCATTTCAGATTCCCAAGTGCCAGAAGGTCTCAAACCATTCTCATGGATCTCATTCATAAAGTATTGACTATTTCTCAGTTATTCTATGCTGCAAGTAGAGTTCCAGATTGACTTAATAGGGAAAATAATATATAGTCAATACCATAATGGTATAGAGCGCCACTGTGTGATCTTAAATGCTTGGGTGATGATCACATTGTACTTAGAGCTGTATCACATTCAGCTCTATCTCTCACTCTAATAGCTCCTTACTTCCTAACCAATGGCAATGACTTGGTGGCCCTAGCAGGATCAGTTAAATAGGTGAGATATACTTGAACCAAGTCAGTCAGACCACCTTTGGCTACATGGTACTCCAATTTATTTGACCTATAATGATGACAGCCTCATTGCCTTGTAACCACATTCAGTCATTTGTGTGTGAAATGTGGGTGAGGGAGAGTAGTGGAACAGGCAAAAGAAGCCTAAAAATAAGATCAAGGATATTGTATGCCATGTTTCTTCTTAGTCTTGTTAGTTTGAGACAGGGCCTGAGAGTCCAGGTTGGCCCTGAACTCCCAATCTTCCTGCCTCAGCCTCCTGAGTGCTGGGATTAGAGGTAATGTACCCCAATCCTGGATCCTTTTAGTTTTTTCATCCCAGGTTTGGTTGTTTTGGAGATTCACAATGTACGCATAAAACCTTAAGCTAGCTTGAGCAGCAACTAAAATAAATTTGGCTAAGAATAGCTTCAAAATGGCTTAAACATGATCTCCCAAGATCATATATAATTATGTTTATTCATGATTGTTGGAGGTTATAGTTTGTGACAGAGGAAGAAAAACATCTCCCACAGCCAGATCTGTGTCCATCCAATATTGTGGAGGGAATTAGAAACAGGTATAAAGACCACAATAGAGGCACAAAGATGAAGTGGGATATTTGGGTTGCTTGGCTGTAAGAAAATGACCATAGTTAACTTAGAAGGGATTATTAGAAGGGTTATGGGGTAGCAATAGACTCAAAGCACTAAAGACCAAATTCTGACAGGACAGGGCCAGGCATTATGACTGTCCAGGATCTATGATCCAGGACGATGTCCCCACCTTCATCTTTTTGTTATTAGTATTGAGGACTGAACACAGAGCTTCTGTGTTATGCAAGTGCTCTATGACTTGAGTCACACTTTCAGTAGTCAACCTGAAACGCAAAACTCCAGGAAAGAAAGTCCGAGTGGACCACAGAAACAGCCTACCATTACCTTTGTGGGAATCTTACACTGATTAAAACTCTTACGTTAGTTAACAGGGGAGGGCAAACTCTTATGTTAGTTAACATGGGATGGCTAACTCTCAAGAAATGGGATAGGAAAAGATAAGTAAACCTAAGAATCCACACATCCCTCATTTTGACTCACAAGGTACCTTAGGGCTGAGATTCATGTGAAGAAAATATAATGTATGCTTCTACAGAATTATTATTTTAGGCCACCAGTAGTCTATGTCGCATCTAAGAGGTTCCAAAACTCCTAGGAAGGGGCCATAGCTTTTGATAACAGAATCAAATGTCAACTTGCTCTAATGAGCAAGTAGATGACAGCCAACTGGTGGTGGCTTCATTAGACTGCAGACCTACTCTGGAGAATGTGCTTCCAAGGCTGATGTTGACACACCAGATCTCTTTTTGAAAGCACCATATAAGATCTGCTGTTTGATTTCATGGTCATGTCTGATCGCCATGGCTGTCCTGCCCATAAATCTAGCTTCTTGGTTTCCCACTGAGTATTGGCCTCATTCTTGGTTCATCTTGCGTACCAATGCAACAGAAGAAATTGACAGGATTATCTCATGACCAGATACCAATGGATGAAGCCAAATCTAGTTAGAGAAACCTACAATAAATTCCTGTAGACTGTGTCTCACTCCCACCCAAGCCTACTGGACAAAACACTATGAGGAGTTGGAGAGTCATACCTGAGTGTCTGGAGGTGGCAAGTTTGAAGTTTCAAGACTTCAGACAGTGTTTTTATTCCATCAAAACCCACAGAATTCTGACCTAGATCCAGAGTGATCAGCTTCTTGTTTTTGCTGAGGGCTTCAGAGAGGTCTCTACAGCTGAATGAAGTGATGGAGCATCCCCACAGCCTGTGGAAAAAATACAGTCAGTGCTTATGGATGCCATCCTGTATGTCAGGCATATGCTTGGGTGTTGGAGATCCAACTGTGAGCAAAAGTAGTGTCTGTCTTTAGAGCTCAAACAAAATAATGTATTATGTACTATGCTATCCATAAGTTATGAAGGGCAAGCAGAAAGAGTAGCTGGGGTCAAAGGTTGAGAAAGACTGGGGGACAGGAAGTGAAGAGAATGAACCATAGAGATTTGGAATAGAATCTCTTTGGGCAGATCTCAAAGGCTCTGATGTGACATATGATTATGTAAAAATGGAATACCAAGCTGGGTATGGTGGCACAGATCTATAATCCCAGCACTTGGGAGGTTGAGACAGGAAGATGGAAAGTTCAAGACTAGTCTGGGCTACATAGTGAGACCGTGTCTCAAAAACAAAAACCAAATATTAAGGCAGCATAGAAGTAGGCCAGGGAGGGTTGTATGAGATGAGCTCATACATAAAGGGACCCCCATTCACATAAGACTACAAGGCCACTGTAAATTTAGGATTTCACTTAGATTGAAATGGGAACCACTGAGTGCTTCTAGCAGAGGGACAATGTGAGTTACATCTTATCTTTACTGGTCAGTTGGAAAACTGTAGGAAACACAGTCATCCAAGTGTTATCGCTTTGGGGAAGTATGCAAGACTCTGAAAGAAGGTAATTGGATATCAAAATGAATTGAAGTTTGAAAAGAAAAAGGAATACAGAATGACACAGAAGATTTTGTTCTGATTAAATACAACAGTTTTGATATGTAGCTCCTACTGCAGTTCTAAGTGGGAAGAAGGTCAATTCTGTGTTATAATTGCCCACCACAACCCCAGGAGAGATGAGAAATTGGCAGAGTAGAGCACAGAGGAGAAAGCGTTTTCTCGTTTGGACTTGTCAAATGGGCAGAAGACAGAAAACAAGCACTACACAAATGTTCAAGAGATGTACATATACATACACGTATACACAATCATGTGTATAAGGGCATAAGTCATGGATTCAGTTTATTCAGGTTGTAGAATGGGCTAAATATATCAAACACCTAACATATGGCCTAGTACATGTAGAAACAATTGCATACATTTTCAATATCATGGCCATTTTTGCAATGGATCCAACTCACCCTATTTACTAGGATGTATGACTGAGATTATACATCAAAGAGTCACAGTGGGCTGGGTAAAGGGAAGAACGTTTGTGAGTCAGAGAGCTGTTTTATTTCCTTGCTGGGGATGGGACCCAGGGCTTTGCACATGGTAAGTTCTCTCCCACAGAGGCGCCCTCCCCAACCTGCATTCCTTAGCAAGCTCTCTATCACCACCAGCACTCTCCTGCCAACATCATGTGTACCTTGAGTCACAGCAGCTAGGGATTCACTACCTGGGGTTGTGAGGGTCTGCTCACTTGGCATCCATACCAGTGTCAACTGAATTGTGCTGGCACTGTAAAGATACTGATGCCTGACTACAGTGCCATTCACAATAGCCAAAACAGACTTGATCTAAGTGTCTGTGAACAGATGAATGAATACAGAAAATGTGGTGGAAAGAAATGTTGGCATTTGTGACCACAAGTGATTTTGCACTGAGTGAAAGAAGCCAGGCACAAACACAAATCTCACATTATCTCACTTCTCTGTGGAATCTTCTGAGAGTTCCTTTGGGACAAGGGATGCAGACTCCACAGCATCTGATTGCTGGCACTTAACTTACAAGATCTGTAAGAACTGAGCTGAGTCTATCTACTTGCTCATGGACGCTGCATTTTCTGGTGTGATGTCTGAGTCCTACCTCTGAGTCTTGGGAGTTGAGCAGTAACGGCCCAACTCATTGGGATAAGGTATCAATCACATCCTTAAAATGACTAGACCCTATTCCTTCAACCATCCTGGAGATTTTTTTTTTAAGAATACTCAACTGACTTTATTCAAATCTCTGAATCCCAGCTGAATGAATCTGCTACTCTTGACAGTTCATTTCAGATGCAGATGAAAGTATAAAAGAAAACACAACTCACCACAGACATTTCAGGTTACACAGCCGTTCCTTCAGAGCCTCACACAGAAACCGCATACCCGTGACTCCTACGTGATTCAGTCCCAGATCCAAGTGTGTGAGGTTCGACTCTTGTCGGAGGAGCTTTGAGAGGTGCTCACAGCCGTCACTGGTTATATTACAGTGCCACAGCCTGTAAACCAACCACACAGAGGAAAAGCCAAAACCAAACCTGTTAGTCCTGGCTGGTGTGATGCAAAAACCATAATCTTCTACCTCGAGTTAAGGTTTCAGACAGGCTTAGATACAATAGACACATGGAGTGGTGGGGTAGACAGGATAATAACCCCCAAAGATATCCAAGTCCTAATGCCTGGTACCTGTGAATATGGTTCCTTACACAAAAGGAAACTGCATTTATGATGGAAGGTTGAGATGGGGATAATATCCTGGATTACTTGGGTGGGAACACCACAATCAAGGATTCTTACAAGAGGGAGGTAAGAGTCAAATTCAGAAGATGTGATGAAGGAAACAGAGGGACACTGGAAGACATACTGTTGGCCTTGAAACTGGAGGAATGGTCAGCAAACAAGCCAAGGGATAAAGACAGTCAATAAGACAGAAGAGGAAATGGATTCCCTCTTAGAGCCTCCAGGAGGACACAGCTCTGTTGGCACTTTGACTTTATCCCAATGCTTATTCCGACTGATAATAAGTTTGGCTTGTTTTAGTCATTAGAGGTAGAGTGTATGCTGAGCATTCATGAGGCTCCAGGTTTGATCCCCAGCATGTGTGCACACGCACACGTACACACACACACAGTTTACAAATTTCCAGGCCATGGGGGCACATCTCCCCCATTCTCTATCCACATGGGTCACCCTCAAATCTGTCACCAGTTCCTATTGTTCCTCCAGGTCCTGTGCCCCCTGACTGTGCTGGGACCTGCTGAGACACAGGGACACGAGGGTCGCCTGTAGTTCCCCATCCTACATGTATCACCACTGCTCCCCGGGATCTGTCCTTTTCTAACCACCACTGCCTTCCTTGTCTCGGCCTCTTGCCGTCTTCAAAATTATCAATGGTGGGCCGAGTCCTAAGCAGGAAGGACTAACATGATTTGAGTTGGCACCTGTAGAATCCATGGCAGTTCTGCCATACCAGGATCCACAGTCTTAGTCATGTCCACAGGTTGTAGAGTCTAGGGCATGGACATCCAAGTGCCATTATGCTGCCTAAGACAACAGTCAATGGTAACAGTCACCTTTGGTTTTCAACTACAGTTGAATGTCTAATTCGAAAATACAAGATCGGAAATGCTCCAAAATCCAGAGCTTTTTGAAGGACAAATCCCATAAGTGGAAAATTTTACCACTGACTTCATGTGACAAGTCACAGTCAAGAGAGACTAAAAATACAGTCAAAAGCAACCTCCAGGCCATGTCTATAGATACATATGAAACAGTGAGTTTTTCACCCACAGAGGGCATACATTGAGACACCCTCTGGACGTCAACTCAGTTATGAAAACCAGGACTGTAAAATAGGTACAGTGTGGGGGGTACTAGTGTTGGGGGGAGGGCGAAGGAAGGAGATTAAGGTGGTAGAAGGAAGGAGATTAAGGTGGTAGTATATGGTTGATAGACTTCATATACCTATATGAAACAGAACTAGAAAACCTCTTGCAATTGCTTTAAGTAGGCAGAGGATTGAGGGGGAGAGATTAGGGGGGCAATGTAATGTACAATATAAGTTTAATTGGAATTGTCACTAGGAATCCCCCTGTATTGTGAATATATTGTAATAAAAATTTATTTTAAAAAAAGAAACATTGTGAGTTTTATGTTTATACTTGGGCTCCATCCACAAGATCTCATTAGGTATATGCAAATATTCCCAAGTATTTAAGATAAAGGATACCCAATCTGAAATATATTTAAGTCCACAATTCTAATAATGATGCAGGAGAAAGCAAAGCAAAATAAAAACAACAACAAAAACCCCAAAACAGCTGAAGTATGAAATCTAATATTCTGTGTTGATTAATAACCTAGGATCTGGCCGAGGCATGTCAGATTGGAGCTAGCACTGTGTGCTCCGAAACACTATTTTCTAGCAACTGAATTTAGGAGGTAAAATTAGTCACTTCCCTTAGTAAAAGGTGGTAGCTATGAAGTCATAAAGAGCTAAGACTAAAATTGTTTCAACAACTTAAAATGAGGACATGGATCAAAAAACAGAGTGGGAGTAGAAAAGGACTTGACCTGTATTTCCTGAGTGAGCTCCCTTCTACAGGGAAACAAGCTTGGTGGGGTTTCATGTCTAAGCCTCAGTGTTCTCATCTGTGACTGGATGAGTGTTTATAAGCCTGGGAGGATTAAATGCAAGAATCTTTAGAATGATCCTAGCCTAGTGCCTGCACATAGTAGGTGCTTAATTAAGGCTGGCTTTTTAAAATTTGCTTGGAGAGCTGTGACTTCTAACATAATTTCAGGATTAGGCTAGTGGGCAGGTGGCATTTTATTGCCTATGGAACTTTATTTTGGCAGTTGGGGACTTAGATCACATGTGTGAGTGTGTTTCCCATTACCTACCTGTAATGGGAAATACAACATTTCAGTAAATTTAAATGAGTAGTTATCAGACACTGGCTGCCTAAAGACCAGAAAAAGTTGACAGGTTTTCTCTTTTATGGTGCTAAGACTCGAACCCAGAGCCTCAGGGATGCTAAGCATGTACTCAACCATTGAGCCAGACATACCCTCAGCCCAAAGCTGACAGTTTCTAAATGTTGGCAGTGGCTTCATAGTGAGGTAGAATAGCAGAACTATTAACACTAGACTCACTAGACAGAAACAGTGCAGTCCCATTCTAAAAATTAATCTTATGAGTTCAATATTAATAGAAATGAGCTTGTTGACAAATCATTCCTCTACACACAACTGCATGCAATTTATGGTGCCCAGTTCGAAGAACACAGGTCTGAAAAGAAAGTTAGACCTGGAAACCAGCAGTGTCTCCTAAATCCCTGTAGAATATCAACACCACTTATTTATATTTGGTGGCGCTGGTGATATCGAACGCTGTACCTTTTGCATGCTAAGTTCCAGCACTTGCACTGAGATACAACCCGACCAACACCATTCCTGATATTTCACCACTTTCCCCCAGCTGTGACTATTAGCATCACAGTTTGAGTACTTAGAAGAATTCCTAAGTCCTTTCATGTGTCCTAATTCAATCTATGCATGTGTGTGCATGGGCAAATTCAGTCCACAGGTACTTACACCAGGCTCTGTAGCTTACACTCAGGGTAATGCAAGCCCTCACACAGGATTTTCACCCCTTCATCCCCTAGCTCATTCTTGGCCAAGCTCAGGTGTGTCAGCCTCTGGTTGATGATCAAAGCAGAGGAGAACTCTTTGCAAGAGGCTTCTGTAAGGTGACAGTTCTCCAACCTGCCACAGAATCACATGGATGGTAAGATGAAGACATTTCCAACACCCAATCTTCTTGGCTGTCTCTGAATGATAAAGTCTAAAGCCTGTGTTGATTCTCCATCCTGTGCTGGGGAATCACACGAAGAAACAGGAATGAGAGAAAGCTGTGCCAACCACCTGCCTGAGATCAAAAACTGGGAAGCAGGTGTCTACATCTGTGGATGGTTCCTCATGGGTTGCCCATCAAATCCAGTGCCACCATCTCTCTTCTCTCTATGGTCCCTGACCTCAAACAGATGCTCCACGGGAGGGGTGGGGAGACTTACGACAACCTCTGCAGGAAGCACTTTGGGTGCTTCAAAGTCACACACAGCAGTTTGGCACCCTCATCCAGGAGCTCATGGTCTGTAAGGTCCAGGCATATAAGGGACTGGCTGAGTTGGAGGGCCAGGAACAGGTCAGCCCACTGCTGAGTGGTGGCAGAACAAGACTCCAGCCTGAAGGAGAAATGGGAGCAAGTCATTTCTCAGAACTCAAACACTGTGCAATTGGTTTTAGTTTTAGATCCCAGGTCATCATATTAACCATAGCTCTAATTATCCAAAGCAGTGGTTGACATGGTGTGATCCCTGGACTGACAGCATTAGCACCACGTGGAAGACAGCTAGAAATGCAATCCTTCTGACTCTGGAGATAGAGTATAGCAATCTATGGTTTTTTTGAGACAGGGTCTTACTATGTAGTCAAGGCTGGCTTTGAGCTTACTATTTAGCCTAGGCTGGTCTGAAATTCACAATCTTCCTGCCTCAGCTGCCTGAATGCTAGGATTGCAAGCAAGTACCATCACACTGACTGCAATCTGTTTTAAGGGGGCGCTGTATTCACCCCAGAAGGTATATTAAAACAAATTTCTGTGTCCCTGACCTGAGTAGAGGGGCATCAAGTTGATGGTGCTCTTCTCCTACGAGCCAGGGGGGCAAAACAACCCATTATTTATCCTGGCATGGCTTTTGGTCTACGTCCATGCCTGGTTCATGCCTTGGACATATGGACAAGAAAAAGCAAAATAAATTTCAGGGCCATGGTTCCAGAAGACTTGGAGTGGGATCTAAGAATTAGCATTTTTAACAAGTTCCCAGGTGATATGGTGGGTGCTGCTTTGGGGAATCACATATTTAGACCTACTTATCCAGAAACTCAGCCAGTTGGGTATATCGTGAACCATGGCACCCACGTTCTCTTCCTGGAGACCTTTATTGTGCATAAAAAACTTCATTGGAAGGTTATATACATTCTCATGGCCTCTGGAGCCAGGATTTTATAAATCCTAGTTTTTTTCTATTTAGTAAGTATGAAAACATAGTCTAGTCCCTTGGCTTCATCAAGCCTTATCCCCCTCCATCTATAAGTTGGAAATAAAAGTCACACCCTCATGTTGAGTGTTTACAGCTGAAATTCCAAGTGGAATACCTACTACACAGCTAAAATGTGCACTAAAATAACTGAAAACCACTTTTTAAAGGGTCTAAGCTGTAACAGAGGAACCTAATTAAGTGAGGGTATAGGAACAGAGTGTCAATTGCTTTCCTTCCACTCCAAATAAGTACATTGAAGTTTTATGGCATCATCTTCCATTTAGGGAATCAATTTATTCATTGAAAATTTGTGACCCAAATCTTAAAGTCACACAATTCTTTTTCCTGGCTAATCCTCTCAGGGAAAGGAGGGTCGTTTGTTATGACTAGTGAGAACGGCAGGTATGATCAACTAACCGGGGCTCGGTTTTACTCCATCCCTACAGTCTTGTGAGATGTACATGGCTCCATTTTACAGACAAGATGACCCCATCAACTAGACCAAGGTCACACCAGTAGAGGCAGAGTCGCAGTTTGAGGCCAATGGCCACATCAAACTGTGCTCCTACTGCTACTCAAACGTGGTCAAGAAAGAGCCAAGTATGGTGTACATGCCTGGAATTCCAACAGTTGGGATGTGAAGGCAGGAGTATTGCAAGTTCAAGGACAGTCTGAGCTACATAGTGAGACTATCTCAAAAACAAAAAACAAATGTAGTGAAGTAAGGATTGATGGAACCTACAATGAGAAATGGTCACCATTAGCACAAGTATGCAGAGAACTTCCCAAGTGTGGATTTCTCAATCCAGAGTGGATTGATCCAGAAAGACCAAGCTAATATTCCTGAAGGTCCTTGCCTGGATGGATGAAGTCCTTAGTTGATATTCTGAGCATGGTACTGGAGGACCATGAACCATAAACAGCCTGACAGAGGATGATATCCTGGTCCAGGACATCATCATTTTGAACTAGGACTGTCGTGTTTGGCTGTTGGGGTTGTTTAGTGCTCAAGGCAGCTAAGACTGAACTCTCTGTTCCATTTTCCCTGAGTATTGCTCTGTGTCTAACAAGAGTAAGAACCCTTTTCTTCTGTTTTACACAGACTTACTTATAGACTCGAGGCTGTTCTGTACAATGAGTGATGGAGAAACTTACCTGAAATACTGCAAATTGCACTTTGGGTGTCTCAAGACCTCACACAATGAGGGCACTATATCGTCCTGGTCACGTCCTTGAAGGGAAAGACGTTTTAGGGTCTCGTAACCACTAAAAGCGAGGCAAAGGTTTTGGTAAGCATCAGCTGGGGAAATACTTTTAAGGCTAAGGAAGAAAAGACAAAGAAAATTGTGAGTTTCTATATCTCTACTGTACATACATAAAAACAAAGGGCTGCGATATGTTTAAATTCTAGAACTTCACATTTTTGGAGACACTGGGGTTTGAACTCAGGGCCTTGCACTTGCTAAGCAGGTGCTCTAACACTTGAGCCATGCCCTCCCTCCAGTTTTGCTTTAGATTGTTTTTCAGATAGGGTCTTACAGTTTTTCCCTTGGCTGGCTTCAGCCTGTGGTTCTCCTACCTATGCTTCCTATGTAGCTGGTATTACAGATGTGTACCATTATGCTTAGTCTTCCAGACATTCAATTCTCAGTTCCTGAGGTATGGTTGTTCTCCATCTCTGGATCAGTGTTTCCCAGCCTGACACTGTTTTGTAAACCCTGGGACAGTTGGTAATGTATGGAGACATTTTGGTTGTTACCACTGGGGGGAGCTGCTGGCCTTTGGGGGTTGGAGACCAGGGATTCTACTCAACATCCCAACACGCTGAAGAGATTCCCAGCCCTAAATGTCAACAGACTTTGGAAAAATCTACACAGAGCCCTATGATTGTCATAATAGGATGGAAACTGCCACCTGGGATCCAGATGTTCTTTTCCTTATTGTGTTTTGTGTGATGTTGCAACAAATTTATTTTACATGAACTGGGAGTGGTGGTGCACATTTATAATCCCAGCTACTTGAGAAGTGGACATAGGAGTATCACAAGATTGAAGCCAGCTCGGGCAAAGTTAGTGAAACCTTTTCTCAAAAGTAAGCAAAAACAGAGGTGTATGGTGTATTGCTCAAGTGGTAGAGATGGCTTTCCTAGCAAGTGTGAGGTCCTGGGTTCAATCCCTAGTACTGCAACAAAAATTATAACAAATCTTTAAAAGTTCTAAACACACAGAAAAAAGGATATATTAGCATGTATTCTTGCTAATTTGTGGAACCTAGACCTAAAATGAGGATGATAGTGGGACATGAATGTGAAAAGGGATTGGTTTGAGGAGACATCAATAGAAAGGGGGGGAAGGAAAGTATACTGAAGGGTGGAGAGGATTGAAGTACACCACACACACACACATATATATATCATATATACCATAATAAAACCACCAGACACTGAAAAATGAGGAAGATGGGAAAAATACAGAAATATAAAGGAGGGGGTGAGCTTAGTGCAAAATATGCAACTATATGCATACATGGGATTATTACAATAAAAGATCCTTATATTAATAATGTAAAAACTTTTGAAAAGTGACAGATCAAGTATCTTAATATGAAGAAACTTCTGTCATTCAAAAAATACCATGAAGAATGTCCAAATGTCATCTATGAACAGGCCTGAGAATAAAAATGTGCCCATAAAACTGCCACAGGTTGATACTGAGATTGTATAAGGAACTGTTACATATGATTCATAAAAAGGCAAACAAAACCATATGGTTTCTATACAAATAAGTATAGTCTTGTTCTAGGTTTTTGATTTCCATGGCCAATTATACTTCCGACTAGTTCTATGCCATCTTTTTTTTCTATGCCATCTTAATTACGGTATCAAAATAAAACTTGATATTTTGAAAGCAAAAAAGAAAAAAAAGCCAATTAGTTGATGTGGTTTTCCCACCAGACAAATTTAAAGGCAGGATCATCTCAATTCATCATGTCTTGGGCACCTGTTGGACTCCATGATAGGAATTTGAATATTCCTCCAGTATTAAAAATGTGATCACCGTGGCCATGCCCTTGGGAATTTGATCTCACAATCAGCTCCTACTTACACCACTTTCTGGAAGTTACAAGTAGCAGAAGCTAATTTTTCACAGAGAATCTGCACAGAAGAGCTATTGAAGAATGCCTGGCTGATGTCTAGATCACACAGACTCATGTTTGAATCAAACGTGGAACACAGTTCCATCCAGAAAGGAAGCAGATAGTGATCTTTCTTGGACCTATGAAGAAGAGGAGAGTTAGTAACCAAATAATACCAAAGAGAAAAACATTTGTCCCTCATGGCCAAGGTATTTAGGGGTACTCTGAGCATATACCCCTAAAAAACAGGATGTAAAAACTGGATCAATCAATCCTGATACTTCCAGTATCAGGCAATTCACCCCTAAGACATACCGCTGAAGAAAGATTTCTATAGGACATCTGACGAAGGGAAAGAATTAAAATTCTAAGTACATCATTTGTTAAAGATTCAGACCAACACACATCTCAGTAAGGAATGCCTGGTGTTGCATCCAACTGACCCTTTTCTGGAGTGAATTTATAACGGCATTTGTTTGTCTAAAACAATATCTCTGAGAACTTAAGTAACGTGGGGTGCAGTTGTGCACACCTGTAATTCCAGTACTTGGGAGGATCTAAAAGTTCAAAGACAGCCTGGGCTACATAGAAAGACATAATCTCAAAAAAGAAAAACCTGGAGAAAAATATAACTATCATTTATTCATGTACTCCTACTTTTCAAAGAATGTTCATTGCCTCAGAGTGGCAGGATGAGGGGATGACATGGTTTCTTTGAACTTTAAAAACTTGCTTTAAATTTTACATGTGTGGTATCTTTGTAAGCACAGAGAAGTGCTTGGATTTTGAAAATGTTGGAAGCACTTGGCATTGTGACATGTGAAAAAGTTAACAGATTTTTAGTTACTGACAAGGGAGTACTGGGGAACTTAGGGAGTGGTAAGAATAGAAGGAACATACCTCCACATAGTCAAGGCCATATCAAAAATCTATAGACGACATCTTATTAAATGGAGAAAAACTGAAACCCTTCCCTCCAAAGCCAGAAATGAGACAAGAGTATCCACTCTCTACTCTTATTCGACACAGTGCTTGAATTCCTAGCTAGAGCAATAAGGCAGAAGAAATAAAAGGGATACAAATAGGAAAGGAAGAAATAAAATCCCAGTTTGTAGGTGGTATTATCCTGTACTTAAAGGACCCTAAAGACTCCACCAAAAACCTCATATCTGAAATGCTTTTGGCAAAGTAGCAGGATACAAAGCTAACATACAATGTTCAGTAGCTTTTCTATATACCAACATGAAAAGGCAGAGAAAGAAATCAGGAAAACAATCCTACTCATGATAGCCTCTGAAAAACCTAGAAATAAACACAACTAAAGAGATGAAAAGACCTCTACAACAAAAACCATGAAACTTTAAACTGTAGATGACACAAGGTGGAAAGACCTCCCATGTTCATGGATCGGCAGAATTAATATTGTGAAAATGTATGTACTACTGAAAATAATCTACAGATTCAGTGTCATCCCAATCAGGACATTCTTCACAGAAATAGAAAAATCAACCCCAAAATTCATATGTAGCACAGAAGTTCCCAAACAGTGAATATCTGAACGTTTATGTGTTGAGACAAAGTCCCACTATGCAGCCCAGGCTAACCTTGAACTCACAATCCTCCTGGCTCAACTTCCCAAGTGCTTGATTACAGGCATGTGCCATCATGTCCAGTTTGTCTAAAGGTTTTCATGGAATATAAAATACAAGTGTTCAAGGAATAGAAGTAATCCAGCAAGCTAATATAACAACAAAATACTATATTCACGTGATTGAAAGCAGCAGCTAATCTGTAAGTTCTTTGAGGCTCAGTACTTTGGACAGCTCTAGAGTTAGACATGAGTCTGCAGGAGGTACAGTAGAGATGAAAAGGGGGCACAGAAGGGCCCGACTTGCCACACATCACTCAGCTAAGAACCGAAAGACAGTGCAATTCCCACATCTCTAAGCTTACATCCTACACCATCTCCCCATTTCAGGTCAAGGCAGCTCATTTCCACAGCCTGACATTTCCCCTGAAGCAAATAATCAACACATTATTTTCACCCTTGTCTCTAGCCCTATCTACCCTTTTGAAGAACAAAAGACCTTCCTCTTGCAGAGGGGTAAGAAGTTTATACAGACCATTACACTACTCCATTTTCTATGGCTTTAACCATTCCCAGGTTCGCAAGAAACAAAAAGAAGATTCTTGCATGAAAGAGAAAAGGTTATTGGTAGAATTTTTCATTCAAAAAAATCTGTTTAAGACATCCTCCTGTAGAGAGGTATGCTGACACATACCTGTAATCCCAACACTTGGGAGGCCACGAGTTCCAGGCCAGCCTGGGCTATATAGGGAGTTCTAGGCCAGCCTGGGCTACTTATGTAGTGAGAGCCAGTCTAAAATAAAAAAAAAAATCCTGCAGAGGAAAAGTTTAGGTAAACTAGTATACATGTCCCTAAGGGAAGAAAATGTTAGGATGTGGACAAAGAGATGAGGTCTGTACACAGCTGGTGATCTGGAAGACAGACTACAACAAGTGTGATGTCCCCAGTGTCCCCTGGAGGTGATGCGAGTTAATAACTCTTTAACATGAAGGAAAGTAACTGGTATTGAGTATGTGAATGATCTCCACTGAAAGGGGCAGGGGAGGCCGATAACACACACGAGGATTTCAGAATTGACTTTTCTTAACCTAAAGATAAGAGGTGAGCTGACAGGATGTTTGTTAGTCAAATGACATCACATATCACAAGGAAGTGATTTTTTGGAGTGTGACCACAGGACATTATAAACCAGTGGACTGTAGTGCTAATCTCAGCCAAGCATAGTTTTCTGAAGCTTGCGTTTTCATTTTAATTGGGAAGATTATACCTCTCTGGCATCTGTCAGCTATGGGGCTATCACAGCACTGTTCACAATATCCCAGACATGGAATCAGTCTAGGTGCTCATCAATGGATAGAAAAAGAAAGAAAATAAGGTTTATATGCTCAACGGAATGTCATTTGGCCATGAGGAACAAAATCTTGTCAACTGCAGCAAAAACAGCCAGAACTGGAGGGCATAAACAAAGAAAGTCAGACCCAGAAAGACAAGTCTTACATAATCTCATATGTAGAGGCTAAAGAAAGTTGACCTGAATGTAGAATATGATTGATAGAGGCTGGAAAAGGTGCAGGTAGAGAGCAGGTACAGGAGACTGGGTGTGATTGGTATACACTGTCTCATGTGCTCATATATCTCAAAACCCATGAATATGCACAATACATGCATTTTAATCAAAAGGAAGACCAAGTGTGATGGCATATTTGTGTCATCCTAGCTATTCAGGCGGTGGAGATTGGGAGGATCATGATTCTAGGCCAGCCTAGAGCAAAAAGTTAGCAAGACACCATCTCATTCGGGAGGCCCTGGGGTCTGTGGCCAGCCTGGGGCAAAAATGTGGGATCCTATCCAAAACAAACAAAAAAACCAGACCCAGGGGTGTGGCTGAAGTGGTAGAGCTCTTGGCTAACAAGTACAAGGCCCTCAGCTCAAAACAAACAAACAAGTATAAACAGCATATAGAAACTACCTGATATCACGACATCAGTTGATGTCATGTGAGCCTAAATCAGGACTTCTCAAAATTTACAAATATCTCCAGAAACCAGAGTGAGGTGCAGCTTTCAGAAACTGTTGATTAATGGATGTTCTAACCACAAAATTTTAATACTCTTTTAGTGGTCAGGCCACAACAGGGCCCATCACTTCATACTTCTCCCGAAGTCTACACAAACAAAAGACAGACTGAAACTTAACGAAAGAGGAAGAGAAAGATCTCAAAATGATGTCCATCTCTGATGCCCCCATTCCTAAGGACAACACCCTAAGAGGGAAAAATTCTGACCCTGAGCCACAGAAGACAGGAGACACTATGGAGTCTGGGAAGAAGCTGAACATGGGTGAACCAGGGAGAACCAGAAAGGTAAAAGAGTTCTTACCCCTTATCCTCAGCATCGTCCTCCGGGAACACCCCCTTGGCCACCTGCACTGAGATTCTCCTCAAGTTGTGACAGTGTTTGAGGCAGAATGAAGAGTTCATTAGGTCTGCATTATTTCTCAACTGCAGAGACATTTCCTCAAAGGGGACCATGGCTTCCTCTGCTAGTTCCTCCTCCTGAGATTCATAGAGACAGGAGAAAACCTCCCTCAGCTCCACCAGCTCGAGGAAGGGTATATTCTCCCCAGGCTTGGCTTGCAGTAACTCTTGTTTGACCTCCATTGATGTTTGGCAGCCAAAAGTGGTCTCCACCTCCTGGGCTCTCTTCCTGTTCAGGAGACCAAATAAGAAGAGCCCCACCTGGGCCAGGTCAGGGTTCTTCCTTCTTGCTTCCCTGGAGAACAGCTTCCGCACATCTCCAATATCCTGCTCAGAGCCGTCTCGGCCTTCCTTCTTCTCACGCTTCAGAATGTAAAACATGGCAGCCAGAAGTTGCTGGACACTGAGGTGCATGAAGGAGTAGCAGTCCATACAGTCACTGTCATTCTGGAGGATGCCCTTGTCCAGGAAGGGATGGAGGTCAGACTCCTTCACCCCAAGTCTCTTGAGGTCTTCTTCATAGAACACAGACACCTGTGTCCACAGGCACTGGGCAGCCAGGAGACACAAGGCCTCCAGTGGGGCTGAAAGGTGACTGCTAGGGCGGTCATCAGGTGCTGGTTGGAACTGGTCACAGAGAAACTGCAGGAACAGTGATGTGGTGATCTGGCAAGTCAGGGTAAGGTCTTCCCCCCTCTCCATCTGTAGCTTCAGACAGGTGCAAATTACCCAGCACACGACAGGAGCTGAAATCATGGAGTACAGAGCCTCATTGCGCTTCACAGCCTCAAGAGCTTGCAGTGCCTGGTCCTCATCTCCAAAGTGTTTCTGGAAGAACACCTGCTTATCTGGCTCCAAGAAGCCCTCCATATTGATGAAGAGTGGCTGCTCCAACAACAGAGTGAGCTCCTGCAAGACCCGGGGTCTTGTGGTGACCACCAGTGTGGCATGGGGTACTATTTTCCTCTTCAGTAAACTACTTAACAGGATGGGCACTGGCTTCTCTTCACACACGTGTCCACAGATGTCAGAGATCATTGTAGTCACTGGGACCCTCATTTCATCAAACCCATCTACCACGATCAGGATTTCCAGTGCTTCTCTAAAGATTAATGCCACCTCTCCCTGCAACGCAGGGTAGTCCTTGGAGACCAGTTCCAAAAACTTGCAGGGCCCCATGTTGGTAAGCTCCTTGCAGCTGATGTAGAAGGCGTGGTAGAATGACAGGCCCAGGCTGCCCTCCGTCCAGTCCAGCATCAGCTTCTTCATCAGGGTGGTTTTCCCCACACCTGCAGGGCCGTGCAATACCACTGTGGGTGCCAATGACCCTTTCCTTGTATTAAGATCGAAGAATGGGACAAGTGCCTCATACTTCTTGGTGGCACGATGGACTTTGTCACTGTCTCCAGGCCAAAAGTTGTTTATCCACATTTCTTGCAGTTTATTCTTCATATATCTTCTGTAACATATATCTTTACCATGCATGGTAGGAGGTTAGGGATAGACAGGGGAGAGGTGGTTATTCATTAGGGAAAAAAATGCTTTGTGTTTAAGCAAGCAAGAAAAGAAAAATGGAGAAACAAGGTTTATACAAAGCAACCTGAATCCAACTTCACTCCAGGAAGGTCCACTATAGACCTGGTTTTTCTCTCTCCCAGACTTTTTATTTTTTAAGCTTCATCCAGGTTTGTGTTGCCTTCTCCCTCTACTTATGAAATCACTTCAAAATATGAACTAAAATGAACTTTGATGCAAACACAGAACTGCTTCCCTCATGAGAACTACAACACAGCAAGTTCCATGGAGCCCAGAGTCCAACCCGGGCTCCTTGTCCAGCTTGTGAGCTAGGAAATACAAAGGCTGCTTCACAGAGAGGAACAGGGCAAACAGCTCCCTTGCAAAGTCACATGCCTCTGTGCTGGACAGCCAGGAAGAGAAATTTGCTCTATCAAAACTCAATGTAGGCCAGGTGTGGTGTTGTGCATCTGTAATCCCAGCACTCAGAAGACTGAGGTAGGAGGATCATGTGTTCAAGACCAGTCTGGGCTACATCATTGGCCCTGTCTAAAAAAAACAAACAAAACCCTCCAAACCTCAATACATTAGTTGTAACTGCTCATCTATCTTTTCTACTGGACTTGAACAAGCACCAGAACAGGGAATAGATCTTCACTGTAACAGTCTTAGCTCATTGTTGAAACTCATGTAGTTGAACAAACAAGCAAGGCCATGCTACCTGCTTAGAACATTCCATAGCTCCCAAGCATCTACTCAAGACAAGCAAAAAAATTGTGTATGTGAACGCACGCATGTGTCTGTGCCATAGGAGACCAGAAATCTCCCACCTCAGAAAACACCTATTCAGCAAGGATTATTTTGAGCTAACAATGGAGAAGGAACAGATACATCGAAATCTCTTGCACTTCCCTATTTCCTTAAAAGCAAGACCTAAATTGCAGATGTGTATTTCTCCCTGGGGTTACAGGAAGCACAAGGCTGATCCCTGGGAACAGCACAGAGAAGTCTACATTTATTTATTATTTATTTATTTCTCATTTATTTACCTGCCCATCATTTGCTGCCCCTCTCAGCTTAATGTCCTTTTCTTTTGTCTCTATTTTCTAAAGTACACTATTGTTTGTTGAAAGACTGCTCTTTGACCTCATTCCCTGATTCTCTCCCATGTATAGCATGCACACAAGTGTTAAACCTTTTATCCTCTTATCTGTCTCGTTATAGGGGCCACAGGCAATAAAACTAAGATGGGTAGAAGAAAAAACATTTTTCCTTCCCTACTGTTCATAGCAGCAATATTGAACAAGTCAGGTTGCTAATAATTCTAGCTACTCGGGAGTCTGAGATGGGGAGGATCATGGCTTAAGGCCAATCCAGGGATATATATATAAAAAAAAAAATGGAGCAAAATGGACTGGAGGTATGTGTGGCTCAAGAGTAAAACAAATGTGGTCGGGCAAATGTGAAGCCCTGAGTTCAAACCCCTGGCATGTGCATGCATTGGACTAGTTTCTAGCCACAAAAAGCAATGAATCAATGGAATAATGTCTTTATGCTGAGTAAAAAAAGTCAAACACAAAACCACATATGATCAGAAAAGGCAAACCTAGACAGATTAATGGTTGTCTGGAAGACAAAAACAGCAAAGACCCTATCTCCAAAATAACCAGAACTAAAAGAGATGGAGGTATGGTAGAGCACCTGTCCAGTAAGCACAAAGCCCTGAGTTCAAATCCCCAGTACCTCCAAAAAAGAAAAGAAATGGTGGAGGAAACAGAGTCAGAGAGGTGAACTCTCAGAAGTAGGAAAGGGCAGGAGGAGGTGGACTTTGCTTACTCCAACAGTCCATGTTTTAAGACCGACCTGGATTTTCCTCCCCACTTGAAGTAGCTTCCAGTTGTAAATATGCTGCTTCTGGAGCCAGTATTATTTCTGAAGGAAGAGAAGGAGACCACAAGCTCATCACTGCTGTGCCAAAACTTCTGTTCAGAAGACACTGAAGAGTCGAGATGGTACAAGTCCAACCTCCGGATCTCAGTATTTAAGATGAGATTATTTCAAGAGGATGTTAGTGATATTCTGGACATAAAGAGTCTATTGGGTTATGACCTTAGGCTCATGGTCTCTTTTTGGTCAGAGAATTCCTACAGAGGTCAGAATACTGTCCCACGTTGCTTAAAGGGAAATACGTTTAGAGAAAGACATTGCGGTTTTGTGCTTGTGTGGCTATCATAGAATGTCCATATAAAAATTTAGAAGGTACACAATCATTTGACATGTACTCTTTTTTTAAATTTTTCTTTTTCTTTCTTAGTTTTTGACAGTACTGGATTTTCAACTCAGGGTACCACTTGAGACACTCCACAGCCCTGACATGGCTTCTTGATGCAACCAAGAAATGCAGTAAACACAAGATGTGTGAGGCTGTTGCCAGCACAACACAGCAGGCTGTTATACAGTACATTTTTGGAAGAAAAAAAGACTAGCTGGGCTTGGCGGTGCACACCTGTAATCCTAACTATTGGGGACGTAGAGATTGGGAGGGTTGTGGTTTGAGGCCAGCCCAGGCAAAAAGTTAGCGAGATCCCCGTCTCAACAAAACAAGCTGGGTGTAGTGGTATGAGCCTGTCATCCCAGCTACATGGAAGGAGGAAGTAGGAGGATTGTGGTCCTAGACAAAAAGTGAGACTCTGCCTGATAAAACAAACCAAAAAGGGCTGAGGGAATGTCTCAAGGGGTAGAGCCTCTGCCTAGCAAGCTCAAGGCCCCGAGTTCAAACCCCAGTGCTGCTACAAAAGTTGGACATTCTAAAATAAGGATAAAGCGTGTCATAGCAAACACACAAACCAGAAGCAGTCATTCACTGTCTTCTTCAAGTATTATGCACTATACAAAAGTGTGCTGTAATTTTTACAATTTTTTTTTGCAATACTGAGAATTGAACTTAGGACTATGTACTTGAAAGCACTCTACAACTTGAGCATATGTATCCATATGTAAGCTTACATCCATATATCCATATACACATGTGTATATATCCATATTTACTTGTTCTTTTGAGACAGGATCTTGCTGTGTAGCCCAAGCTGGCTTTGAACTTCCATTCTTCCCGTGTCAGCCTCCTAAGTTCTGTGATTACAGTTGTGTGCCACCACACCTGCCACAATTAAATATTTCAAATGAAGAAGACAACTATTGGCTGCTGGTTTGCTTAGAATGCTCAGCTGATCACCTGCCTTGTAGCAGGCACTATTCCTCAAAGCACTGCCAATCTCAGATCTAACAGACAGTCAGCCAGCATCACAGGACACTAACCCCACCTTGGTGCATCCACAGAAGCAGTCAGATGATTAGGACTTAGGCACAAGATGTGGAGAATATTTCCAGATAAGCCCAAGTCATATCATACAATACACTGGTGATTTCAAGAGACAAGAACCTGGAAAAACAAACCACTAACTCTCTTGGCAGGACTTTTTTTTTTTTCCCATCTATGAGGTCTAGGCAGTAAACGTTTTCTACTTTGCAGACCACATGGCCTCAGATGCACCCTGTGGGCTCTGTTGGTGAGAGGCAAAAGCAGCCACAGGTAATGAAAGCAAATGGACACACTATGTTCAAATAAAACCCTTCCAAGGGCCAGGCACAGTGGTGCATGTCTGTAATTTCAGCACTCAGGAGGCTGAGGCAGGAGGATTGGGAATTGGAGACCAGCTTGGGCTATATAGTGAGACCCTGTCTCAAAAAAAAAAAAAAAGGGCTGGGATGTAGCTCAGTGGTACAGCACTTGCCTAGCATGCGTGAGGCCCTGGGTTCGATCCCAGTACCAAAAAAGACAAAAAAAAAAAACAAAAACAAAAAACAAAAAACTCCACAAACCTTATTGTTACTGAAATTTAAATTTTATATGATGTAAAATTCCTTTTGGAAAGAATAGAACAGCTATAAATAGACAATAAGTTTCCACAGGAATGCATTTGAAAACTTTCTTCCACATCTGACTTAGAGGAAAACTCTCTAGTGCCTTTACACCCAGGAACAAAACACCTGCCAATATGTGGATGTAACTGCTGGTGTCCACTGGGAAAGAAGTGAGTGTTAATACTTCATTAAAAAGATTTCATTCAAGTGCTGGTGACTCACACCTGTAATCCTAGCTACTCAGGAGGCAGAGATCAGAAGGATCACAGTTGGAAGCCAGTGTGGGCAGTGTGTGAGACCCTATCTTGAAAAAACCCATCACAAAAAAGGGCTGGTGGAATGGCTTAAGGTACATGTAGGCCCCGAGTTCAAGCCCCAGTACCACAAACAAACAAACAACCACAAAGCAAAAACAACCAATTTCATTCAAGCATGAGGACCTGGGTTCAATCTCCAGCACTGAAAAAACTTTGTTCTTTGAAAAAAGGTGTTGCTTGTAAACCAGGCTGGCCTCCAATTCACAATCCTCCTGCCTCAGGCTCCTAAGTGCTCAGATTTCAGGCAGGCACCACCATACTAAAGACAAAAAAAAATCCTGAATTCAATACTGGATTCTTTAATGATATCGCATTGCAGTGTCAAATGGTCCATCTATTTAATTTCTCCTTCCTTATGGCTATAGCTTCAATTCTCTTGTTTTCCTGTCATTTTTTTGAAAACAAACAGGCAAGAGAATCATCAGAAAAAATATAAAGTGGGGCACCCATGGCTCACGTCTGTAATCCTAGCTACTTGGAAGGCAGAGATCAGAAAGATCATGGTTCAAAGCCAGCCTGGGCAAATAGTTCCGTGAGACCCTGTTTCGATAAACCCATCTAAAAAATAGGGCTGGAGCAGTGGCTCAAGGTAAAGGCCCCGAGTTCAAACCCTAGTACTCCCCACCCCCCCAAAAAATATGTAAGAACAATTCTAGGTGGGTGAGCTACACAAAACAGATAGGATCTGGGTTTAGCATTTTGATGGCCTTAGTTTACCATTGCCGTCGGTCTAACAACCCCCAGCTCATCCAGAGTCAAGGGAAAGCTTGTCTCCCCATATCCCGTTTGTATACACCTGATTTCCAGTAGACACAGCCTCACCTGAGCTTCCCACGTCTCACCCCTGTGCTGCCCCCTGCAGGAAAAGTTCCTCAGCAGCAAGGATACAGTCGTATTTCTTGCCTTCCCTTAGCATAGAATCTTATTAAAAGAAATCCTTGAGTTCCAAGATCTCATATGAAGAATAAAACTCATGAACAAGATAACTTACGTAGTGAAGGGGGCCTCCCGCCATCAGATCTCACAGCTGCTTCTGAAACAGGAGAAGGTAGAAAGCAATTTACATATTTTAGAGTCTGACTTACATTCTCTCCTGCTATTTGCAGATTTGTGTTCTCTGGAGGCCAGCAGCCAGCTAGGGTCTAAAACCCTCATTTGTTCACAAAAAGACACGAGAGTATTGGGCCAAGAACTGATCCCTCCTGGAAGAAAATTGGTGACTTTTTAAAAGAAAAAAATTGACAGGATTTCCTTTTCTAGGACTGAACAGTATTCCAGAACATATGTGAACTACACTTTATTCACTCATTCCTTAGACACTTGGGTTGACTCCATTTCTTGGCTGTTGTGAACAGTGCTGCAGTGAACATGGGAGGCAGAGGTCTTAGATTGATTTTGTTATGTTTAATGAAATGAGCCAGGCACAGAAAGATAAATCCTGAGTGGTCTCACAAGTAGAATCTGAAAGTCAAATTAACAAACAAAGGAGATGGGGGATGGAGAAAGGGAGGCTATTTCTTAAAGAGCACAAAGTTTCAACTGGACAGGAGAAAAATCCTGGTGACCTTTTATAGCATGGTGACTATGGTTAATAATGTATTACCTATTTCAAAATTGCTAAAATATATGTAAAATATTCTCACCACAAAAATTAGTAGGTGAGGTGATAGGTATAGTTATAATCTCAGTGTATACGTAAATGCATATTGAAATATGTCATTGCATCCCATAAATACACATGATTATTTGTTAATTAAAAATATATAGGGGTGTGGGTATAGCTCAGTGGTGGATTGTGCAAGGCCCTGGGTTTAATCCTGTGTACTACAAAAGACAAAGGATAGGATGGGAAGTGAAGCTGCTTAAGACGCACCTGAGAGAAATGCAAGGGAGAAAAAACATACTATTTAGAGTGTACATCCTTGTCTGAAATAAATGGACTATCAACTGAAATAGCTAATTTTAAATTCTTTTGAAACCACATTATAAAGGTAAAAAAGATGAAACTAATCATATTTAACTGTATCTAGAATGTAATCATGGCAAGATATAATAAAAAATGTTAAAGTTATTAAAGAGATAACATGTAAAAGTCTGCTGCATACAGTTCCCCAGTATCCACAGGGGGTCAGTCAGCTCCCTAGCACAGTTCCCCCATACACTTTAAGTCATCCCTAGATTACTCACAATACCTAATACAATGTAAGAATTAGGTAAGCAGCTATTACTCTGCATTGTATAGGGAATAATTACAAGAAACACATCTGCAAGTGTTTGGTGCAGATGCAACTTTTTTAAAAAGAGCATTTTTGAACTGTGCTTGGTTGAATCCACAGGCATAGAACTCACAGGTGGAGGACTAATCATATTTTAGCTTTAGGGTTCATCTGAACTTAAGTCAGTCACACTTAAAATGCTCAGTGGACATCTGTGGCTACCAAACTAGTCAATGCAGCCCTTGGATGTATGTTAGCATCCCCTGGGGAGCTCATAGGAATCCGTGCACAGGTGCAACCTTAGACCGGCAGTTTCTTCATCATCCCCAGTGATACATCCTGGATGTCAGTATATTTAAAGTTCCCAGGAGAGTCCCAAGGATAACTAACACTAAAGCAGTGATTCTCCACGAGGGGAGAGTTTGCTCCAGTGGGAGCACACAGCAGTGTCTAGACACATTTTGGATGGTCATGAGTTGGAGGAGGTGCTACTAACATCTGGTGGGTACCACTGGTGGGATGGCAGCACCTGAGTACCAGGGATGGTGCAAATGTGCTACAATGCAAAGGATGTTACCCCAAAGCAGCATCCTTCAGCCAGGAATTCTATCAGTGCTACTGACCTAAAGGAAGATAGAGGTTTGAGTGTGTGTGTGAGAGGGGAGGACAAGAAGGGGAAGGAGTTGAGGGGGGAGGGTTAAAAGGAAGGAGGGGAAGAGGAAGAGAGGGGAGGGAATGGGAAAAAGAGGGAGAACAGAGGGAGATAAGGCGAGAAGGAAATGTAGAGAGGGAAGAGAAGGATGGGGGGAAGAAGAGGGAGGAGAGAATGAGAGGGAGTGAGGGAGAGAGTAGGATAGAAAGTTGAAGGGAGGGAGAGGGAAGAGAGCAGTGGGAGGAATGTTTATTAAAAAAATCAGTTGGAAAGGAATTGAAAATGAGTCAGGGTGAATAATTTAACATCCTAGACGACATGAAAGAGTGGGATCATGAGTACATTTCAGATAAATGGCATTAAACTGGGGAAGGCTGGAGTAGAAATACAATGCCTGAGAGAAGTAGGTCTAGGACACAGGAACCTGGACAGATGTCACCAGACTTTACGAAGGTGTCACATTTGTGCTCAGAACCAGTAGCCTCTGAGGATCTATGCCATTTCTAAAACTCTCGGGACTAATTCCTCCCTTCTCCAAGGACATGTTGTGGACCAGTTTCTGCTTACCTTTGAGTTCATCCTTTGCTTTCTTAGACAGATCGTGTCGGTTCATCTTGTCAAAGGCTTGGATGGTCACTCTCTCCACCCAGGATCTGGGGCAGCAGTTGGTAAGAATTTCCACCAGCCGCTTTACATTGGCTTTTTCTAGCTCTGCCTGGAAGATCTGCTCCAGCTCCTTTTGCAATGAAAAGGCTTTCATCAGAGACTTGAACTTGCTCAGCTCATCCTGGCTGAGTTTTTCCAGAAGAGCCAGAAGGTTGAAATTCAACCGAGCAGAGGATGCCATCCTGGCCTGGGTGTGCGAGAGCTGAGCTCAACTCTATAAAAGAATTAAGAAAAAGGCAAGAAGTCAAATATCTTAAATGCCAGTCACCTCTAAGCCATGGCACGACTTTGCCCACAGTGTATTCTACTACTTGGAGCACAAACCTCCCAACAGAGGTTACATTCACAGACTGCTCTTTTCGTGGCTTGACATAGCTGGTTCATCTTTTGAGGGTCTTTTTATAGGACATGCAAGTCTCTGAGTGCTGGTGGGAAGTCTATGCCACTTCAAGTCCTATACCTAGGAGACACTGATTAGTTTTTAAGTTTAATGTGCAAACAAGCTAATGGGAAACTACTGACCCCCATAACCACCTTATGTGCTGTTATCTTAAGGTATTTATAGGGTGTGAGTACTGAACTAGGACCTCAAGTTGGTAATACCTTGACTCTCATGACACATCTTGGTTTACCATTGACCCTGAAGGAAGGTAAAGTGTTACAGACAACTCACTGGATTTGAAACCCTGTTCATTTAGAAGAGGGGACGGGTATTTTTATGACACAGATTGTAGCAATGGTTTTCATGGGTATGTATTTTATCTCCCAACTCACTAAGTTGTACACATTAAATATACATATGTATTTTTCAGTTACCTTTTTCCCCAGCTCTATTGAGGTTTAGTTGATAAAATGGCATATATTTATCATATACAATGTGATGAGATTATACAAGTATAGATTGTGAAACAATTGCCACAACTGAGTTAACACAGACATCTCATTTTGTGGTGGGTCTCATGATCTTCCTGATTCAGCCTCTCGAGTGCTGGGATTACAGGGAGGTATGCTCCATCATGCCAGCTTGTGGTACAAACTTTTATGATTTATGTTCTTAGCAAATTTCAAGTACATAATAGAGTGATTAACTGTAGTCATCATGCTGTACACTAGACCTCCAGGACCCTCTCATCCTGTTTAACTCTGAATCCTTTTGACCATCATTTCAAAGACTTCCTCTTTAACTAAACTTGAATTAGATTCCTCTTCATCCCATTTTTAACTAGGTCCTGACTTTAGCCTCTGTCCTTGGCACAAGGAAAAGAGAATTTACTGGGGATAAGATTGTAAGCAGAATGAACAACTGAAATCAAAGCCCAGAGGTGAAATGAATTTAGAGACAAAAATTATAAAATGTGTACCAGACATAGCATGTACCTCCTACCCCTTGGGAGATCCTGCAGGTTAAGTCAGGAGTTTTAAATTTAATACAAAGGTGAGTGGGAAGCTACCTTTCCAGTAGGGATGGTATTCAATCTTTTCTAAAAGACTTTTCATAACCACTTTCTTGCACTGGTCAGGGAGAAAGGAATATAGGAGTCATTCCGAGCAGCTAGCTAAAGCCAGGTGTAGTGGAGCACACCTGCAAATACATCACTCAGGCAGTTGAGGCAAGTGGACTGAGAGAAAGGAGAAGAGGCAGAAAGAAAGGAAGGGCAAGAGGAAAAAAAAGTGAAAATGAAAAAAGAGAAAGAAAAGTGAAAATAAGAAGAAAAAATGGCTGCAATGAGTACTTTGTAGTAGGGAAGGGAAATTCAGTTAACTTCAACAAGGACAGTGAAGGTTTGCAGTAAAGGAGCAAGGTAGGAGTCAGTGGATGGAATTACTGAGAAGGTCAAGGTTACAGGGATAGAGTAGGACAGGGTGATAGGCTACTGAAGGTGGGGAATGAGGAATTTGACCTTTAGGAGATGATTGAAAATCAAGGGTGGAGGATTTTCACTAAACTGACTCAGGAAGTTCCTACAAAAATTGAAAATGCAACAACCCAGAGAAGACAGAGGAAGAGGAGGCACTGGGACCAGGAAGACAGGGACCAGAGTGATGTAACTACAGGCTGGGGAGCACCTGGGGCCACCAGAAGCTAGAGGAGACAGGAAGTGATTTTACCCCACAGTTTTGATTGCAGACTTCTGTCCTCCAGGAACTTTAAAAAGAATAAATGTCTATGGACTTGTGGAGTGGCTCAAGTGGTAGATAGAGCACCTGCATAACAAGAAGTGAGGCCCCGAGTTCAAACCCCAATGCCACAAAAGAAAATACGTGATCCCTTAGGTGAACAGTTTGATTAGATGTACATCTAAGATAAAATATGACCAGAAGTAGTAGCAATGACATTTTGCTTAAAACTGAAAAGTCAAGGGCATGCCTCAAGTGGCAGAGCACCTATCTAGCAAGCACAAGGTCCTGAGTTTAAACCCCAGTACTTCCCCTCTCCCTCCCTAAAAGAGTGAAAAGTCAGGGGCTGGGGATGTAGCTCAGGGGTAGAGCACTTGCCTAGCATTCATGAGGCCCTGAGTTCCATTTTCAGCACTGCAAAAAACCCAACAAATCAAAAAACCTTAAACAAACAAACAAGGCAATGAAAATAAAGGAGGGGGGTGGAAGGGAAACGGGGGCACAGGAAGGAGGAGAAGAGTAATAGAGGAGTGAACATGATCAAAGTACATCATATACATGTATGGAAATAGAATGAAACCCTTTACTTTGTACAATTTATGTATGTTAATAAGACGACGACGTTCTAGCTGGGTGCTGGAGGCTCACACCTGTAATCCTAGTTGCTCAGGAGGCAGAGATCAAGAGGATCGTGGTTTGAAGCCAGTCTTGGGTAAACAGTTCTTGAGAACCCATCTTGAAAAACCCATCATTAAAAAGGGCTGGTGGAGTGGCTCAAGTGATAGAGTAATTGTCTACCATGTGTGAGGCCCTGAGTTCAAACCTTAGTGCTGTCAAAAAAAAAAAAAGGTGAAGTTCTGAATATTAGTGTTACCCAATACAAACTGAGGGTATTATAATTATATAGTTGTGGTAAAATAAAGAAAAATATTAAATGGCCAGGTGCCAGTGCCTCACGCCTGTAGTCCTAGCTACTCAGGAAGCAGACATCAGGAGGATCGTGTTTCGAAGCCAGCATGGGCAAATAGCTCATGACCCTATCTCGAAAAAAATCCCACAAGAAAGGGTTGCCACCAGCCACTCAAGCTGTAGGCCCTGAGTTCAAAGCCCAGTACCACAAAAATACATTTAAGGAGCATGGAGTAGGGCTGGGATGTAGCTCAGTGGTAGAGCACTTACTAGCATGTGAGAAACCATGAAATGAAGAAAAGTGCTGCTTTATTTTGTTGGGGTGATTCAAGAATTATCAGAGAAAGACGCTAACACAGAGTTAAGGAAACATGTAAAAAGTGACCTAATGGAATTTTAAAAACTAGCAGACAACATAATTTGAAAAATAAGGGCCATCACAACACCAGGCAGTAATATAAGCAGATAGTTAACACCTGATTTCTTACACAGCTTTGATGGGTAATATGGTTTCTGCAATTGCAAAATAAGCAAGCAGCAACAGGGTTCTCCACCAAGAAGAGCTGCTCAGATTCTAAAAGAAGCCTGGGTGCTGGGGGTGTACTTTGTTAATAAAGTATGTATTTAGCACATGTGAGACCCTGGGTTTGAGCCCCAGCATTACGTTAATCAAATAAAGGAAGCCTGACACCAAACATGTCTCTGGATACCATATAGTAAAAAACAAAGGTGAATGTATAAGCACAGATTGCTTGTGGAAGTAGATAGCTGTGTGGATCAACCAGGAGATAAATACATGGTGGACGTGAAAAGATAAGCCCACTGAGACCTCTGAAGGGTCATACCAGAAGTCCTGGTTCCCCCTGTGTGTGTTGACCAACTATTGAACCCTGTCACGGAGGAGCTGGGCAGCTTTCTGTTCTGGCCTCCTAAGGAATGGTTCTTGGTCAGTGCAAGAGGGGGGAGGCTGAGATCCACACCATGTGTTACTTAGATAGCTCTCTCAGCTCCGACCACTACCAGGTGAGTTGGGTTCACCAGCTTAAGTGGAAAACATGAGGAGAAATAGTGAACTGAGGTTGTTTCAGTGCAGGTTAACAGTTTAGAGAAGGCTTGAAATTGAAACAGTGGAACTACTCTATGGAACTTGGGGAAAGAGGGAAAGGAAAGAGAATGATAGAGGATCAGTAATATTGCATTACATAAGATGTGAAGTAGAGGACATAAGGATGTGTATTGAAAGCTGTTGAGAAATGGAAAGTGGGAAGTAAAGGGATAAGGGAGATTAATGGAAGAGGTTGAACAGACCAAAGTAAAGCACACCCACAGTGGGCCTGCATTGAGACACCCCTTTGTACAACTTAAATATTAATAACAAAAACCAGGACTATAAAATAGGTTTGGGGGATACTAGTGAGAGGGGGAGGGTGAATGAAGGAGATTAAGGTGAAAGTATATGGCAGGTAGACTTCATATACCTATATGAAATAGAACTAGGAAACTTCTTGCAATTGCTTTAAGTGGGGAGGGGAGGGGGTTGAGGGGGAGAGACCATCGGGCAATGTAAATGATGTACAATATAAGTCTAATTGGAAATGTCACTATGAATAATGAATATATCCTAATAAAATTTATATTAAAAAATGAATGATTGATGGAGTCTGGTCCCAGAGCACAGGTGAATTGCTTATCACTTCAGGGAGGGTGCGACAGGCCTCTACAGAAGATAGATGTAAATCACCTGTGAACAATACCTGAATAGATTAGTGCTCAATATTTAAGTCCTGAAGCTGAACTAGAATGATTCTAAGAGGTTCCATCATCTCAGGGAATAAAAAGTGATGTCTTCTATGATGAGGAGACAGCGATGGACACAAACCCACAGCATCTTCCACAACTCCGCGCCCAACGGCAGCACCGGTCTACTTTGTTTTTGCCTTGGTGTTCTGTGTATTTCTACTTGTGTTCTCAATCCCTCATGGGAACAGAAAATCATACAAACACAGGCCACCTACTGTGAGCCAACATCAGCTATCTCTAAAGTTCCTGTTACCTTTCCTTGGCCTCAGGGACCACTGACCCCCTTACAGATGAAAACTCAGGTTCCAAAGATACAACTAAGAAAGGAATGAAGAAGTACGGAAATAAAGTCAG